TGTAAAAATTACGCGGCAGTGGAAGTCCACCTTTTGCTGAAAGTAATAAATGGGAGATAAAATTTTGTTAACCGATGCGGCGTACGATTGCGTGTATCTTCGTAGACTCTTTTTTATCGCCGGTTTAATTTGGTTATATTTGATAACTGAATTTCCAAACCGGTCCCAATTACATGATTTTAAAAGACAAAAGTTTGCTTAAAATTTCGCTTTACCCAGGTTGAAGTTAGCCATTTTCTGGCTCTCTGGTTTTAAGCCCCAGTGCCCTTTGGCAACACGCACACACTAGAAATTTTCCACGAACAGTATATCGGACAACTTGATAAATAGACGCACCGGTTAAACATTTCGGTTTCTGGACCTCAAGTTGGTACGTGTAAAAATTGACAAGAGAGTGTATCGGGCATGGGATGACTGGCGGTATGTATAATGTACATTCACGCGAGTTAATTAGATACTTTCACGAATATTAACCTTCAATACCTCGCAATTTATTGCTTCAACTGCTGCGCTACCGGTTTTTGGAAATAGACCTTGTTACGGTTTTCGACGCCATCTTAAAGAGTAGGCAAATGCGTGAGAAATTACAGTGTTTGTATGAGAATCTAATGTCAAATAATTTCTGTAGAACGGCTGTTCTGAAAAAAATATCAATTGTATACTAGAGCTTCACTCCTAAGGATTCTACTGAAAAAAATTGAGGGCGATGCATGTGCGAGAAGACCTATAACCACTTTTTTAAAATTTTCTATACATTTGTCTGTAAGAAAATCCCATTACAGACAAATATATGGAAAATCTAAATCAAGCCTCTGGAGAAATTTAAGCACAGATACGCCCCCAAAATTTTTTAGTGCAATCCTTTGCTTAGTAGCTTTAGTTTACAATTGATATTTTTTTCAGAACAGCCGTTTTACGGAAATTATTCGACATTAGATTTTCATACAAACACTGTAATGACCCCTGTAATTTCTCACACGTTTGCCTACTCGTCAAGATGGGGGTGTCTGTAAAACGCGGACCGGATACCTGCGGATGGCGTATGCGGATGGGAAAATGAGGATAGAAAAATGCGGATAGAAAAATGCGGATGGAAAAAAAATGCGGATAGCAAAAAAAGTAAGAAGGAAAAAAACGAGAAATGTGGATGGAAAAAAAATAATAATAAAATAAACAAACAAACAATTAAGGAAAGAATTCTTTCTGTCAAGTCGCTGTCACATGGTTGAACCCTTCACTTACATACAGAACGTAATGCCAATAGTTGACACAGTTATTTTGCACCCTGTAATTCCTTTCATTAATGTCACAGAATTAAGGACACTCCGTTCCTCCTCCTTAAATGCACACATACTTGGTGCACTTCTCCTTTGAGTGTTTAGCCTAAGGTTTGCAGGTAAGGTAAACAGCTCAAAAAATCGGCTTGCAAAGGTTCGCTTATTTTGCACTGGCCCCGTTTAATATTCCTCTCGTCACCAAATAAGGAGCCAGTGGTCCCTGCAATCACGGGTCAGCATCCTAAAGCGGTGTAATTCACGAAGCAGTCTGTCTTTACTTTCGGGAGTGATCGCTATCTTTTTGTAACATCGCTATCTTTTTTATCACGCTAAGAAGGGGAGGCATGATTTCTTTGCTCTCACTGGATATAGCTAGCTAGTGTACTCAACTTACAGAAAGAATATTCTCGGGGCAATCAAATCAAGACTTATTTGTTTGAGCGGCTCAAGACAGAAAAAATTGCAGTATCAACCAGAAAAAAGGCCGAACGTTCCGATTTGGCAGATGCCAATCAACTCCGCCTGATCCGCCTATCATGTGGATTTATCTTTTACAAGTTCTACCCTTTGGGAATTTATAAGTGCACGAATAATGAGTTCGAATTTTTAAAATTGCAAAATATACTGCAGATTGAAAAGAAAAAAACAGACTTCTTGATCAATCGCAAAAATTATTTCCCGAAAAGGTGTAAAAATAATCTTCAAAATTAAACTCCCGCAAAAAAGTGTCGCTTGGAAACGCATTACGGAAGGCTACTTTCTGTTTCATTTGTTTTTGTTTCGAATTTTTCTGCTAGCAAAATAGTTTCGAAAACATATCCTCAGTGAGNGGAATTTATAAGTGCACGAATAATGAGTTCGAATTTTTAAAATTGCAAAATATACTGCAGATTGAAAAGAAAAAAACAGACTTCTTGATCAATCGCAAAAATTATTTCCCGAAAAGGTGTAAAAATAATCTTCAAAATTAAACTCCCGCAAAAAAGTGTCGCTTGGAAACGCATTACGGAAGGCTACTTTCTGTTTCATTTGTTTTTGTTTCGAATTTTTCTGCTAGCAAAATAGTTTCGAAAACATATCCTCAGTGAGTTTTTAGAACGTCTGTATCGAGCAACTTAAAACTCGTTATTAAAAGCGTGAAGGGCAGAATTCGGAATCGAAAATAATTTATATAATGTTCGATTTATTTGGCCCGCTCCCGTCTATCTGCGAAGCAACAACCAAACATCTTTTTTCTACATGGAAAGATGTTTAATTATTACAAATCAGAAAAAAAACCAAGCTGCTTCTTAAGAATGACTATATAAAAATTTTAGCTATGTCTACACCAGATCAGCATTTTTTATATGTTGATGGAAGCTTTTCGTAAAACTGTGAAAATGGAACGAAGGACAGAAAAATGACTCCATTGAGGGTGCGGCATATTGCTTGAAAATGAATTTCTGTAGAAAAACCCTCATTAAACAAGACCGATTCACACAAAACCGAGAGGAAATTGTGTAACAGAAGACCACTAGTGTAACAGAAGCTTAGCTTTTGATCTCAAAAACGGGCTTCTGCAGGTGTCTGCAGTTCCCAATCACTCTCTGAACTGTCTCCTATGGCAGAGTCGATCAGAGTCAAGGCAGAGCGAAAGTTGATTTGTATTATGAGCCCGTTTGAAGATCAGGCTCCTTTGTGAGGAAACATGGCGATTTAGCGGAGGCAAGCGTGAAATAGGCGACGCAAAGCACGCCGATTTTTTCGCGTAGTTTACCCTATTTTTTGGTTTAGTTTGTTTTCTCTAATTTTCTTTTAATTTGAGGAAATTTAGTCCTTTTTTATTGTTGTTGTCCGAACAACGTTATACACGCTTTGTTTCGTTAAGAAATGTTTTAGTGACACAATTTATATATCCAAATTTTTGTTTTTTTTGTTTTTGTTATTGTTCACAATTTTTTCTATCCACATTTTCCCATCCGCATCCGCCATCCGCAGGTATCCGGTCCTCGTTTTGCAGACACCTCCTTATGAGCTGTTTACCTTGCCTACAAGCCTTAAGCTAAACACTCAAAGGAGAAGTGCACCAAGTATGTGTGCATTTAAGGAGGAGGAACGGAGCGTCCTTATTTCTGTGACATTAATGAAAGGAATTACAGGGTGCAAAATAACTGTCTCAACTATTGGCATGTGACAGCGACTTGAAAGAAAGATTTCTTTCCTTTGTTTGTTTATTTTTTTTTTTTGCTATCCGCATTTCTCATTCTTCCTTCTTACTTTTTTTGTTATCCACATTTTTTTCCATCCGCATTTTCCCATCCGCATCCGCCATCCGCAGGTATCCGGTCCGCGTTTTACAGAGACCCTCAAGATGGCGTCGAAAACCGTGACGAGGTCTATTGAAACAACCGGGATTTCTCGAGAAAACTACATATCTGAGCTTCTTGTATAATCAGATGTCATGAAGTTTTATTTACATGAGAATAAAAAGACATTCATATCAATGGTTTGGCACTTGAAACTTGAGGCAACTAGTAAATGGCCTAATCTTCAGTCAGTCTGAATCTTCTTGTGGAATAACGAGCTCCTCTGTTTTAGTGTAGATGAGCTCTCTCAACGGGCGCTCCATTCCTTCTTGTGGAGGTGTGAAGCAGCGCTTTTTTCGAGGGTGATGTTTTTCCGAGACGTGTATACCTTCCTTTCCTATTTTAGAGGGTGAGGGATGGGGGAAGAAGAGCAAGGGGAAGACAGAGGAGTAGAGTGAGATTTTGAAGGTGTACGCATGGGAAGAAAAAGTAAAACGCCGAAGGCGCTCTTAACTAGGGGGTCTGGGGGAACAAGCTGAGAATTTTAAAATCAAGGGTCTCGGAAATGGTATTTCCTGCGTTTTCCGCAAGACATTTTCTGTAAATAAATACGAAGCAAAATGCAATAGTTAGTTGTTTAGTTTAGCCATCTCAAGTGTTATCTGTAAGGTACATTGCTTACGAGAAAAAAAGGGTAAAACGATGACGCCATTAAAAAGGTTAAAAAGAGCGAGACTTCTACCCTTTAGACGGGCAAGAACACCGATAAAATGTGAAAAATTTATCAGTTATACCGAATTAATGATAAAAATTCTTTGGAGAAATAAAAAAATCTGATTTCAGCTGTACGCACGGGCGAGTGCTCATATGAACGCTACGCTCCTGGAACAGAAATGCGATTTTCAAAGCGCGGAAACGCGTATTCTGCAAAAATTACTCGCATTCCGCGCTTACAAGAACAACAGTGCAGTTGGTACGTCATGAGCCATCTTGCTACGAAAGATTCTAAGCTGTGAATTGAATAGTATAAAGGGTGTAGTGTGCGTATCGCGCTAAGCGTTTGTGTGAGGAGACAACAATGCTGGAATATTTTATAAAACCTCAAATGCACATGGCTCTCAGATGGCTCTTCCTGACCCGGGAGGGGGACTGCGGGGCTTCCAGAATTTCTAAGCAAAATGGGGGTGAGCTATGTACGGGATGCAGGATGACAAAAATCACCATGGAGATTACGCGATTGTGGGAAAATTTACGTCGGGATGACAGGCTTATAGAACTCTACTGAGGACCCTCGATTATACCTTAAATTATAAGTTACAGTCTCACTCCGCCACGCCATTCGTATGACATACGACTCACGTAGAATGGATTAATTTATAGATACAACAGAGGAATTGTTGTCCAGAAGACTATTGAAGTCCAGAAAATCGCTGTTTAATCAGCGATAATAATAACAATAATCGACTTGGACATTTCCGCCCACTTTAGAGCGTGGTGGGAACCCTCCAACTCCATTTGAAGGTCTTGAATCTTCACAATCCCAATAGAACCACTCACTTCTAACCTCCATTCCCTGCACATACTGGCACAAGTGAGTGTTAGATTTCAGCAAGACGAATGGGGAGTCAGTGGGAAGAATTATGGGATTTGTGGCGTGCCCATCTGCTCGACAGCAGTAGTAGATAACGGTGTTTCCGTCATAAATACCATCTGGAATCTGACCACTAATTTCGTTGCTGTTGTCATCATCTTCGTCATCCCATTTTATGTGTCCCTCTGTAAACCCTGTGTGTGATTAATAGATTATATATCAAAGGGATTTTTTCAGTACCAACAGAGGGTCATTGAGATCCATACAGATTTATCTTAGCTTGGCCGTTTCATCTCTTACTGAAGTCGCCATTTTAAGACGCTTTGTTTTAATTCATGGTATTGTAATCATTATCATTGTAATAGTTATAATTATCATTATCGTCATCGTAATCATAATCATCATCACCATTATCATTTGCCAAAATTGAATCCCATAACTAGGTGTGTCCCGATGAATCTACCGTGAGTCAGGTGACTGACGTTTCGAAAACCAGTGCAGTAGTCGTCTTGGAAGTCAAAGTGACTTGTATTTCGTCAATTGACGGTATAAAAATCTGTTTATTTACCTGATTGGTCAATTAAGCCATGACTTAAACTGACGATCAAAGACAAATAACTAGAAACAAACTACCATGTTAACCCCACGACGGGCTGTCTAAACAGCCTAGCTGACTGCCTATATTTATATATTAAAATTGGCTTGAACAAACCAAAAAACAAACAAACAAATAACACAAACCTTCGGGACATTCCCCTTTCTTGAGAATACAGTATTGACCTCTTGGCCAGGGAAGATTGTAATCAGAAGCTGTGTCTTCTGTTTTCATACAGAACGTTTGGAACATATTATTTCTGTAGTATGGACCAGCCAAATCAAATGGAGATGACCACTCGTTGTTTGCACGAGAATCTTCAGTGTCGTGTTTGCGATATCCCTGGTGCCACAGGAACTCTGATCCCTTGGGACATCCTGACTTAGGCATGGGAAGACCGTATGTACCCTTAGGCCAGGTTAAAGGAATCCGCACTTCGGGATCTAATTATAATCATGAGATACCGTCAAGCACTGAATAGATACTTTTTGTTTCTAGTCTTGAGTCGTGCTTAACATGTACTTTGGGGCTAAGGAATTCACCCGTGATCTTTGTTGGCCTTGAAAAATCTACCTATTGTTCGACTGGCGGGGGACCCCAGTTAGATCAGGTAACCCACTTAGGTGAGCTAACCGTCCTCTTCATATAATATACCAATTCAAATTGGTCAGGTTTACATGATAGATGAGGTGACCATATGAGAGATTATATGAACGGAAGGGTTATCCCACCACCTGGGGTCCCCCACTTTCATGTAAACAGGCCTCAAATCAATAATGTTTACGCATTTCTTTAGCTTTCCTGAAAACATGAAGATTCCCTTTGAATTATCACTTAAGAGTTTACCAGATTTTCTGGCAAAAGTAACGTTCTTAAGTTTAGAATATTTCGATGCTATCTATTTTTTACCTCCTCTATAATAGACTCGTACCTACAGGTATCACGGTTTTCTTAAGGCGAGGATATTCATCTAATGCCCTTATGACCGCCGCCTTACGCTCTTTGAGTAGAGACTTAGAATGAACACATCGTGCGGAGCACTGTTGATCCAAGACGGAGTAAAAAGCAGAATCAAAAGCTTCAGTAATTGGCACCAGTTTAATTCCAATGGGCTCAGGCATGTTTGGTCCTCCAGACTCGAATACCACCTCATGATGCTCCCCAAATTTGGTGTCCTTTGACATTGACTCTTTGAACACGTTAACATCGACTTTCAAGGAGGCGTTGAATCCCATGTAACTTCCAGACAGAGATACCGATTTTTGCGACTAAAAAAAGAAATAGAATATACTGGGTTCGTAAAAATGTTACATCTTATTCCCGAAGGATCGTGTGGTGCACACAAAAACCTTAAAGTTTCATGAAATATAATCTGCGATCTAAAGTGACTTTTAGTTGAGGTTCTCAAAATGGTGTAATTCAGCATTTGAAAACGTTATATATTGTCTGTAAAAAAATTAATACTCTGAAAAGAAGAGATCCTTGTGCATAAAGAACATTGTCAATGATTAGTAGACATAAAACCCGCAATGTTTGGGAATCGAAAGGTCTTATTAGAAAAAAAAAATAGTTAAAAACTGTATAGCAGGGTTCCATGATGGTGACGACTTACCAACTATTAAATGCAACTTCGGAAGAAAAAAAAAGTCAAAAACAAAGACAAACATACATGCAAGAAAAAAAAAGTGAAACAACTAAATTCAAAAAGTACTAAATTTTTTCAGCTTATAATTTTTAAGATTTTGCAAACAGATTTTATCGTTTTAACCTTTAGCCATTAGTTTTTCTATTCTATGTCTATATTATCATCTTATTTTATCATTTTTATTATCATAATTATTCATAATTTTTATTATTAGTAGTATTATTTTTTGTTGTTGTTGTTGTTGTTGTTTTGTTTTGGTTTGGTTTTGTTTTGTTGTTGTTGTTTTTCTTTTCCATATGGCGCATTTGAATATATTTATATAGATATTTGCGCCTTAAAAGTTTTTGAAATTAAATGAAATTAAATTACTGACGTCAGAGGTTTTTTCTTATCAAAGTAAACCAAAAAGCGCGACAAACCAGAAGAAAGGCATATTTCTCAAACTTACGTTCATTATTGCGTATTTAGTGAATTCTGCTGTTGAACTTTTAAAGCGTTCGGTTTTTTTCTCTCCCAATTCTACTTCGATTACAATGTGCTGAAAAAAACAAACAAAACAAAACATAGAAAAGCGGAAAGACAGACACAATTATGCAATTAGCACTGCAAAATGACGTCAATCCCGATTATTAAGCGGATTAATCAACATTTAAACAAACTAACCGTTCCCCAATCTTCTAAGAAATCAAAGTATGCTGTTTCGTTGTAGCCCTCTGGTAACGTGCATACTGTAGCAGCAAAGTCCGCTGACACCGGGAACTTCTTTACTGGAGCTAAATCCAACTGGTAGCGGGCGCGTCCCTTATTGCAAACATGTTTCTCCTCATAAAACACACTGTGATATTCAGATGTCTCCTTCTTCACCTTTTCGAATCCTAGAAGTATTGACGTCAATGCATCGTTATACAAGGAATCATTGGACAGTACAGAGTAACTATATCTGAGCTAATATTAAAAAGATGTTTTGAAAATGTACTACAGTTAAACCTTCCTAAACAGCCACCTAAACTATTCCCTAAATAAGAAATTAAACAGAAGTAACTCATTTTATTTCTTACTTGAACTTAGCGAAAAAGCGACATTCAGCAAACCCACGCCGTAGTTACCTACACAGAAATTTAAAAGAATAAAAATAGTTTCAAAATTCACAGCTTAGGCAATTACTATAAGTGAGAATCACTTATAAAAGTAGTCGCAACAAATGCTGTAAAAGCAATATTTCCTTGAGACAATCTTAAGCGCAGCATCTGCCTACCTATAAGTATAAACGCGGTTTTACATGTGGCAGCATAGTCGTTTCTTATCACAGAATCAGTGTGTGATATCGCTTAGATTGAAATCTTAGCAATCTCTTTTTCCGCTTACCGCTAACTTGGACATCGTCGTTCAGTTTTTCTTGATAACTCTTACAACCGGAAAACACCTCTTTCTTGTTGGTTGTGACACAGGATGAACGTGGCGCAAAGGTCACCTGATCTGGCACACTGATTCTGTTGTCCACAGTCTTCTTGTTAGTGTTCCAGGTAAGATTAAAGATCTTTCTAGTGATAAGAAGTCCTGGATCGACACCCCCATTTGTCACATCTCCTCCTTCAGGGTTCCCTTTCAGCAGATTATATCCAACACCAACAAAATGGAGTCCGTTTGGAGCATCACCGCTTCCTTTAACAACCACAGTCATACCAATGATGATGAGAATGACAGACAACTGCATGGTAGCTCTGTAGCTTTTACTGCACATACATGTACTAGATTCCTCCCTAAATGCAAAAAAATAGGTAATTTCCCCAGCATTGCATTTGAAAAATATAAGCCCAGGACTTATTTTCGGAATTTTACGGTATGCTTTGTTCTTCGTTCATGGACGAAATTACAGAAACCCATCAGTGACAAGTTCTGTTCAATTTCTACATTACAGATGTACCACAGCAATTAAACTCAACTGATTGTGGTGTCTTTGTCTGTATGGTAGGTTTTGCTATTTCATCACCTTTGCAATAAACATTATTTAATGGAAAGTCATTCATTATGCAATTCCATCAAAATAAATATGAACTTTTAAGTATTATCCATAAAATTTCATCCATCACTACTGTTACTGATTAGTCTGCAGAGTACCTTAGCAGCCGGATAATGCCCAACTATAAGCAGGTATTAAAACAGGGGCACCCAACGTCAATTTTCGGAAAATATCTGTTCGGAAGACGATTTGAGATCTAGAATTTTCGGAACTTTTGTTGTAAAATTTCTTGCTTGCCTGCCTCTCCTAGGATTTTCGAACATCTAAAAAATGGAATAATTGCCCATTTTTAACGGATTTTCACTCTAAAAAGGTCACCCACAATTTTCGGGAGCCTTTTTCATGGCTGAAATTTTCGAAAATGTAAGTTTTGATCCCTATAATTTTCAGATCACTAGACTTTCAGCTAGGAAATCCGAACAGATGAAAAAATTTTGGGGGGATAAAAATATGCCTACATCTACCTTTTAAATATTAAAATACGTTCAACAATGCTATGTTTAAGTGGTTTTGAACTATATTCGCGTTGGGTGCCCCTGTTAAAAGTTCAGACGCTAGACAATTTTCAAAAATAAAAAACCACTCCTGTTTGGTTATCCTTGGATTTCAAATGTCAAACCAGAAAAAGGGTTTTGCACTTCCCCATCTGATTACAACAACAAGGAATGAATCAAACTATCTTTGTTCAGCTATCCCCAGCTGGTAGGAAAAAGCCTTCAGAGGGCAAGATATGTATTACAATGTAACAATAACAAGCTGCATGTCATGTAGTAATACATGCAAGCAACTGCTGACATAGTTTAGGATGTCCTGCTAGGCAGTACTATTTCCTTAGATAATACAGGCCAAAAGCACAAGGCATTTTTTACGAAAAAAAAAAACACTCCTGTTTAGTTACCCTGGCCTTTTGGAAACCTAAAGAATGACCGTTTAGCAATAAAAAACCCAGATATGATCTACCTCCTAACAAATGTTGCTAACGCTCAGGATGTCCCGTTGGACGGCACTATTTTCTTCGGTAATACCGGCCAAAAGAACAGGGCCACTTTTATGAACAAAAATATTCCTATACAGTTATCCTAAGCTTTCTCGATCTAATCTCCAAGTAAGCGTGACTGGATGCCACTGTAAGCTCGTTCTTGTCTTTTATCAAATCATGGCATGACGTCAAGGTCTCTAAATAAAGGCCCCGAGGGGGTGTCTCATTTTTTGTCTAGGATTACTCTGGCGCATCGTTTCTGTAAATTGATTACGTCTTGGACAGGCGGCTTCGGTTTGCTTCATGTCCCCAAGTAAACCCCGTAGTCAAGTATTAGCTGGATAAGTGAGTTGTAAAACAAACTTCTCAGCTTTCAGTCACAGAAATTTATCTGTTCTTTTCAAGAGGCCAAGTCGCTTTCCTATATTCGATACCGTTATTTAAAAACAGTTGTCTCTCTTTATGCCAGGTAGTTTAGTATCGGCTACAGAATCGAGCTGAACCTCAACTGTTCTCACATTAAGATTTCTGCCGTTCAAGCAGTTAGCCCCAAACTTATGCTGTAGACAATCGCTTGCAGGGACGAGAATCATCAGCAAACGCAAACGCAAACACAACTTACATATGAGCTTCTGGGAACGAAAACTCGAACTTACCCTATGGCTATGTGGAAGACGAGCTCAGAGCACTAGCCTAATCACCAATTACCGACTGCTGCTTCAGCCACGAACACTGAGATACACTTTAGAAAATAGAAGTAGTTGATTATGTAACTGAAAAGGAAGCAGCGTACTTACCACGGAAACTGCGAGGTACTGTTCTCTGTGACGCAACCAGCAGTCAAATGAATGTTATGCTGCTTGTTAGCTCTAATCAATGGTCAATTTTCTGTACGAGTCATAGAACCGTGAAATCTCGACATTTTGACACTTCTCCAATCGTGAGGTAATGAACCGTTCACCCGCTAGATCATTCGTTCTGTTGACATGTGCTTGAAAGAACTATCTTTGATCCTAGCGCACTTGTAAAATGTTTTAGAGATAAGAAGGCAGTCTTTGCCAAATCATTGATATCGTATCAGAGGATTATAGTTTTTGTTTGATATTAGTCAAAAGTAAATCAACTGCGCTAAAGATACAGTCCAGTTCAGAACATTAGGTTAAATTTTCAAAGCTATTCCCGGCGTTGTTTAGCATTGGTCACCCAGTGAAGGCCCTTACATAATGGAGACCGCAAGAAAAGGTGGGCGGTTTTGAGTATTTTTAGAGTCGGGGGTATTCATTTTTAGTGTCTATTAAAAGCCATCTGTGCATGATTTAAAAAAAAGCCATCGTTTATGATTTTTCCAAAAAACTGTTATCATTAAATAGTTTGAAAATGAATAAACTGACGATGATTGGCGAGATTTAGCATTTTAGACCAGACGTCACATTCCAATGTTCAGTTTAGAAAAAGACGCGTCATTCATGTTCACTGAACTGGGAATGGACCCGAATGACGCCGGTGTTTGTAGGAATAAACTTCCTTCGTGGAAACAATCATACCGCTGGGCCGAAAAGTCCCAGGTACATATTTACTGAACGACTTGCCGTTTCATTGACTTATTCTAGTTTTGGCTTTAAACTAGGGGTTTTTCTTACTTATAATTCCGAATAGATTGGCATCTCTGCGGTAGCAGTCACCTGAGTTTGACTTTTGGGAGCTATAGTTGCATAAATCTCAAACGCGAGACACACCAGCTAATCCGTATTTCAAACTGAAGTACAAATTATTAGCTACAAATGCCCTACTTTTTTCACCACTCTTATATAATTCTATCTCGTTCCAAATGCGCATACTTCTTCAGTTTTCAAAGAACTGTTGAAAAACGACTCTTGTTACCTTTAATACGCCGATGGAATGCAGACGAAAGCGGGTTTAAAGCGATCAAAGAAGGACTAAATTCCCTCCAACTACTACAAAATATAGCGGGAAGCGGCCAGAGAAGTCAGAGAAAGCGTTTCGTCGTGCGGAGAAGATCTGGAAAAGGTACTTGGTCCTGGATTACTGAATTGGGGATTAAAATGAGGGATTCGTTCGAGAAGCAATATCGTATGATTTCCTGACGGTGGCGCATGACCGTCGAGTCAGAAACTCGGGAATTCACGTAGTTGTTGATTATGTAAGCTTAAATGATTTTTATTGAGGGTCGCTGACTGGATTCAGCTGTACGTTGATGCTCTTCAGTCCTTCTCAATTTTCTAAACATCAGCCGAAGCGAGGTAAGTCTATTTTTATTTTAGCACAAAAACGTACCCGTGTTAAGGTCGACACCGATCATTCGATCACTTTATAAATTCTCAATAACTGCTAATTGTGTGAAAGTGTAATGTTCATGGAGAATGTTGATGTAGATGACTATTTCTTAAGCCTGATCGCACTGAAACAGCTCAGTTCAGTCACAGTTCAGCTTTTAAGTGTGGATCGTAGTGGATATTTTCACACTGATTAAATCTGTGAAATTAATTGTTTTAAGGGTATGAGGAGTGTAACCACATGAATCAGATATTTTTAGTAAACAGAGTAATTGCACTTTTAATTTGAGCTTTGGTCAAACTCAGGTGATTGTGAGTTTTAGGTTTGATGCTTAGACCATCTTGTTTGTGTTTTTGCGGTGACTCGAATCTCGATTTGAAATGCCTGTATTTGATTTTTTTAAAGTTTAATGATGAGAATTTGTGCTTTAATTGAACTCGAGTTTTTTTCTTATGTCATGCATGATTTAAAGGTACTTGAAGTTATTCATAACTTGTGATCAATAATAGATGGTATAATTGTTAAGAACTTCCTTGAATGCATGTTAGTGTTGTTGAGAGAAGATGGTGATGACCAGCCTTTAATTTTTCAAACAAAACTAATCCTAAAGGAAACATTGATGATAGTGCATGTCCAGCATTAAAGCGACTGTGTCACGATAGTGCGCATGCGTGAGCTGTGACAGTAGCTGATTGTCTTTGAACCAATCGGAAGCGAGTAACATGCACGCGAGGAAATTTACATAATTCAAGATTCATTGTTCGCGAAGCGCGAGTCTTCCGGACGTTTTTGTTCGATTTTATATATCCCCATAATTCATATTTATTCTCTGGTATTCCTTAGATAAATGTTGCAGCTGATAAGAATAAGATTACCAACCCTGTCCTGCTTTGAAGCAAACATTTAGCAACGTGTATTTTTATGTACCCACGCGAGAAAACCAGTCTCCGATCCGCAATGAAAAATAATTTGAAAACAAACCTTTTTCTTCACCAAAACGCCAATCTTGAAAAACTGTCCACCAGAACACAAATCAAGTTGCCGCACATGCGCAGAAGCGTGTCACAGTCCCTTTAAGCAAAACAGTTTGCCCTTCCTGATGCAACAGAGCAGCTTAGCCTTCTCAGGCTGTGACTCTGTGAGAATTTTACTGATTCTCCAGGTGTTTCAGAGGGAACTAAAAATGAGCTTTCAGATATTGTTTGAACCCCTGTTTAGCATGTTTGGCCTTCCTGATGCAACAGAGCAGCTTAGTCTTGAGGCTGTGGCTCTGTGAGAATTATATTCTCCAGGTGTTTCAGAGGGAACTAAAAATGAGCTTTCAGATATTGTTTGACGCCCTGTTTAGAATTAAGTAAAAAAGTTTGGCCTTCCTGATGCAAAAGAGCAGCTTAGCCTTTTTAGGCTGTGGCTCTGTGAGAATTTTATTCTCTAGGTGTCTCAGAGA